TGTCTTGAACTCCTGGGCTCAAGTGATCCAGCTGCCTCTGCCTCCCAAAGTATTGGAATTACAGGTGTGAGCCACCACACTGGCCTAATAAACATATTTTATTGAGCACCCACTAAGGTGCTAAGTCCTGGAGGGATAAGTTGGAACATAAAAGAGATCCTTCAAAGATTTTACAGTCTTTTGTGTGAGTCCCAATGAATAAATTAGCAATCACAATAAAATATAAAGACAGCCATGAAGAGGGAAGTCAATGAACTCTGGGGACATAGAGGAAGGAAGGGAGTGAGGGTTCAAGCTGCCCTCTGAAATGAGGGTAGGAGTAAAAGGAAGTGAGATGGGGGAGCAGGAGAGAATGTTCCAGACAGGAAGAACAGCCTGAACAAAGGCTTGGGCATCAGTAAGGGCCTGGCATTTTCAAGGAACTGAAAGAAGGTCCATGTGGCTGGGACAAAGTGATGTGGTGGGTGGTGGAGCTGGAGGAAAAAGCTGAGCCTGGAGAAGTAGGCAGAAATGTGGGCTTCGTCCTGAGGGTAATGGAGAGGCATTGAAGGATTTCGAGAGGGGAGAGCCTTGCTCAGACTCGTGTTTTGGAGATCACTGGGCTTTTGAGAGGAAGATGGACTGGACCAGGAAGGCCTGGAAGCTGGGGCATGAGTTCACGGCTGTGGTCCAGCAGAGAGATGCAGGGGGAGCAGGAGACGAATTCAGGACACATCCAGGTAGCCAACTAACACACTTCGCTGATGGACTGGATGTGGGCAGTGAGGGAGAGCCCAGGGACAGAGATGACCCTTGGATTTCCGACCTGAGGAACCAAGAGGACACCCCATCAGGAACGACAGACACATCAACGGGCACGTCAAGTGTTTGGGACAGGGGAATGGGGCCTATTTTGGGGCCAGGGGTGGAAATACCAGTTGGGACCTTTACATCTCAGCTGGACTGGCCCTGATCCCTGATTCCCGGCCCCCTGGGTAGGGCAGGATGAATCCAGTTTCAGCTGTCAGTGATGGAGATGAGTAAACAAATGCTCAATCCTTACTGAGCTGCTCCAGGAGACCCTAGGCAAGTCACTGCCCTGATGAGCCTCAGGTGACACTGGTGTGACGGGGATGACACTTCTGCCTAGCTGCCCAACCCCGGTCAGCCACAGCTGTCAAATGCAATTGAAGATGATGAAGAGCCGCCGCCCCAGCTGCTTGGATGCTCTGTGACTGAGAGCATCCTCGTTCCACCCACTGCCTTGGGGACAGGCTTCTGCAGGAGCCTGGGCAGAGCCTGGGGCAGGAACGTTCCTTCCCCGTCTTTCAGGGAGAAGGACCACATATCTGCCTGTTCCAGTGCCCTCTGGCCAAAGCGGAGTGGGCTGTTGCAGCAGCCCCTGGGGCAAGCACGGCAGATTCCTGGGTGGTGTGCCTGCCCACTTTAGTCAGAGGCGTTGAGACAAGGAGTTACCATGGCCGTTCCTCCCACTCAGATCCAATTCCCCTTCACACTCTCCTAATAGGCCTAACAGTGTCTGGCCTGCTTCCCTGCCATGGCCCTTTCCCTTCCCCTGGCCACAGCACTGTCTCCCCTGCTGCCCCTCCACAAAGCTCTGCCTCACTGCCACCTCCTCCAGGGAGCATTCCTGATTGCCCTGACAGACCTCCAGGTCCTAGAGTCCTCACAGCAGCATAAGGATCTCTCAAGATGCTTCACATAGGCCCAGATTCGGGATATTTTGTCTGGAAGGTCCCTTGGCATCCATCTCACAGCCTGGGACAACTGAGGAGGAATAAACTCGGTTAACCCCTGGTGAGGAAACCACCACAAAAATGTCCCTGGTCCCGGCCACCTCCCAAAGAAGACGGAGGCACACTGGGCCCTTTGCGTCCATCTCACCTGCCCTTCCTTCAGTCCTGTGCTTACTCGGTCAGTCCTGTGTTTACTCGAACGCTGAAGGTTCACTGCATGCCAGGCACCATGCTTGGCCCTGGGGATACCCACAGCGCGGGGCAAGGCAGACACAGCCTGTCCTCGTGTGACTGGCTCTCAGTCTTGCATTTAGGCTGTGCCCCGTGCCGGGGTTTCATGCTGTTGCCCATTTTTTTCTTTTTTTTTTTTGAGACGGAGTCTTGCTCTGTCACCCAGGCTGGAGTGCAATGGTGTGATCTCGGCTCACTGCAAGCTCCACCTCCCAGGTTCACACCATTCTCCTGCCTCAGCCTCCCCAGCAGCTGGGACTACAGGCGCCCGCCACCTAGTCCAGCTAATTTTTTGTATTTTTAGTAGAGATGGGGTTTCACCATGTTAGCCAGGATGGTCTCGATCTCCTGACCTCATGATCTGCCCGCCTCAGCCTCCCAAAGTGCTGGGATTACAGGCATGAGCCACCATGCCCAGCTGTTGTTGCCCTAATTTATATCTGCACATTTCCCTCTCTGCACCTTTGCCTAAACCGTGCACCCTGTGCAATGCCCTTTCTTCCAATCTCAGTATGAATCTTTTTTTTTTTTTTAAACGGAGTCTTGCTCTGTCGCCCAGGCTGGAGTGCCGTGGTGCAATCTCGGCTCACTGCAAGCTCCGCCTCCCAGGTTCACGCCATTCCCCTGCCTCAGCCTCCTGAGTAGCTGGGACTACAGGTGCCCGCCACCATGCCTGGCTAATTTTTTTGTATTTTTTAGTAGAGATGGGGTTTCACCCTGTTAGCCAGGATGGTCTCGATCTCCTGACCTCGTGATCCGCCCGCCTCGGCCTCCCAAAGTGCTGGGATTACAGGTGTGAACCGCTGCACCCGGCCTCAGTATGAATCTTATCTACAAAACCTAGCCCTATGCCCTATAGCCACCTCTTTCAGGCAGCCTTCCATGAATTCTGGCCAGAAGCAGCCTCTCCCCAATCTGTGCCCCGAAGCCCTTTAATCTCACCTGCATGTCCCTATAAGGGGTCAGGCCCTGTTCCCCCACCCCTACCCACTGTGAAACCCCACAACAGCAGGGTCTGGCCTCTGTCCGCCCTGCAGCCCCCAGCACAGCCCCGAGAGGCCAGCTGCCCCTGCCAGCCAGGCAGCCTGCACCAGCCTTGAGCTGAACCAGAACCTTCCTAGTCCAGAACCTTCCACTGCTACTTTCATGATCTGTTCCCCAGAACAAACAGGGGAATTTGGGTCCTTCTGGAGAAAGCTCTGAGTCTGCGGGAAAGCGAAGAAAACTCAGAACCCACCAGGGAGTTTCCCCAGCAGCAGGGACTGCAGTCACTTCATCATTAATCAGGCTGCTCGCTGGGTCACAGCTGTCCCTTGCAGTTGTGTAGCACAGAAGAGCATGTAGCGGCTTCTGTGGCAGGTGGAGTTCCCACAATAGGGCAGGCAGAAGCCACAGGGCAGCGCACACAGAGGGCAGCGAGGGCAGGAGGGGTGGTCAGCAGAGGTGCCCCTTCCTGCCTGTTCCCAGGACCCAGGCCCAGCCCTACACCTCTGGGCTCAGGCTCTGTCGCCAGGTCAGGGCTGCCCTGTGCCTGCACACCTTCCCCTGCCCAGTGCGGCCTCCTTTGCAGGGGGACTCTGCAGGGAGCTACTCTGAGGCTGCTCCTCCCCTTCTCTGGGATGTTGGCACCAAGGAGGTGCCCAGGCAGGAAAAGCAGCCTCCCCTTCCGCTCCTCTGCATGTGCAAATGGAAGCCAGCCCTGGGCGCAGGAGGCGTGGCCGGGGGCAAAGAACCCATCTGGGCTGTGGCTTGAGGAGGGGGCAGGGTCAGGGTCTCTGGTAGCTGATGCGACCTCCAGAGAAGCAGAGAAATGTTGGTGCGAGGCCCGCCAAGGGGGTCTCCATCTTCCTGAGATCTACCGTTTTGGCAGGGCTCTGTGGGACAGACCAAACTTCCTTCTACAGGTGATGAGATTGAGGTCCAGAGAGGGTCTGAGAGCTGCCCGAGGTCACACAGAGGATCCCGCCCACAGAAAGATTCCTCCATGAGCAGGGAAGCCCCCCTCCCAGGTACGGAAGCAGCCAGGCCTCCCTTGTTGAGGGGTGGGGAGAGGAGCGCCTGGGGCTCCTCCGAGGTTGAGGGTCTCTGTCTGGTTTCCTCTCATAGGATCCCCGCCCTTCCACCTGAGGATTGATGAGGTTAGCTCTGAGCGATGCTCCGGGAGCGTGGGGTTTCCACAGGTCCCCAGAATCTAAAACCAAGAAACAAAAAACCTCACGACAAATAGCGGCTGTTGCTGTTATCATGACAGTTAGTGAAAAACTTTGTAAAGATACAGTGATTAACACAGGGTGGACTGTGAGAGGGTGGAAGGCACCTGTCCTTGTTTTGGAGGGGCAGTGCTATCATTTTGAGTTGGCCCTGGTCATGCAGGGACAGGGTGAAGCCAGGCCGAGGTCCCCCATGTCACAATCAGAGTCCAGGTGCTGCCCTGCCTGGAGCCGCCCTTCCCTGGTGCTGCCCACCTGAAGGCCATGGGACTCTCATCCTACTGAAGGGATGCCCGTGCTCGGGCTCCTGCGAGCCCCAACAGGGCGACTGGCAATTTCCTCAGGTGGTCAGGGGACTGACCCACTTGCAGGGATGCTGTGACCTGGGGCTGAGACCCTAGAGTCACAGAGAAGCCAGTTCACCAACTTTATCAACCTCCTTATGATTGCAATTCTTGTTTTATTCCTGACCCTACTGGAAAGTGGACTCGTGTTCTGTCATCTGCCCTGCAATGAGCTGGGGTGCCTGGAAAGTCAGCTCAGGGCCTGACTCAGGCTGGACCCTGACCAGGCGTCTAGTACTGACTCCGGGACACAGCTCTGCTAGAAGTGAGAAGCAGCATCTCCCACTGAGCCCTTCGTTCTGTTCTGTATCTTAGGGTAAGGCATCCCATTTAGGGGAATGTGGTTTCCTGAGCTATTTGGACTGAATGGTGATCGAAGCGCCACCGGGCTCTTGCCTCCTGTGGTCAGGGCCTCGCCTGGGATGGGACACCAGCCAAAGCTGCTCTGTACCCTGGCTGGGCCTCAGCCTCTCGGAGGCAGATGGACCTCCCTGCAGAGTGATGCCCATGTGCCCGTGCCTGGCAGCCGCGGTGGCCCCGACAGCACCCTGAAGCTCACTCATGGTCCAGAAGAGCTCCGCTTGGTTTCTGCCTGGTTGACTCCCCAACACCCCTGTCTACCCCCCACTCAAGCCACCACGCATGAAGGACGCTCTCCAGCCAGAGAGATGAACCCAGCTGTGCATGGAGGCTTTTCAATTCTAATAGAGGAACCAAGAAATGTCCCCTTTGAAAGGAGAAGTATGTCACTGCCATGGGCTCCAGATACATGTACCCCACCTCCATCTGCAGTTGAGTGCCCCTTCTCTGGAAATCCACAAATATTCCAAGAGCTGGACTTCTTCTGAATCATCTCAAATTCTTCGAACTTCGCTGGTCTAGGGAAGGATGTGAGGAGGTGACAGAAGGCGGGGCAAGACCCTCAAAGAGGTTAAATAGGTCACTGCCACCCTCGACTCTCACCAGGGTGTCTCCCTAAGCAGAGGGACCCGCACACAGAGAGACTCCCTCCTGGGCTCCTGGCACCATGGCCCCACTGAAGATGCTGGCCCTGGTCATCCTCCTCCTGGGGGCTTCTCTGCAGCACATCCATGCAGGTGAGAGCAGGAGACAGGTGGCCAGGGGTGCGCACCGGGAGGACAGGAGTTAGGGGCATGAAGCAACACACACATTTGTGTATTATTTACACCCCACCTACTCCCACAAAAGACATGAGAAGCCCACAGCACTAGGATTTTGAGGGAAATAAGCAGAGAAAAATGTTGATGATGACTCAGCTCTTGTGGGTGGGCTTGGTGAGGTCCAAAGCGAGCACAGTGGCTGCAATGGCTGCGAGGTGGGGTCTGTGGCTGTAGTTGTGCAATGGAAAATGAACAATTCTCAAAATTATTTATTAGCCTCTGTTTTATTAACAGGTTTTATGCACAATGAGGGAATCAGCATAAAGATAGGATAATTGGTTCCAAAAGCATGTAAAAAAAGATTCTTTTTTTTTTGAGATGGAGTCTCGCTATGTTGTCCAAGCTGGAGTGCAATGGTGCAATCTCAGCTCACTGCAACCTCTGCCTCCCGGGTTCAAGCAATAATCCTACCTCAGCCTCCCGAGTAGCTGGTAATTCAGGGGCCCAGCCACCAGGCCACCAATGGATTTTCACCATGTTGGTCAGGCTGGTCTCGAACTCCTGACCTCAGGCAATGCACCCACTTCGGCCTCCCAAAGTGCTGGGATTACAGGCGTGAGCCTCAGCGCTCAGCCTGAAAAATAGATTCTTATATTAGGTTGGCAAAGGGAAGATGAAATAAGGTTGCCAGGTATAGACATACAGGGACGCACACAGACACACACACGTAGGCACTCACAGGACACACAGGATCCCCCACAGACACACACAGACATGCATACCCACAAACACACGGGACCCCCACAGCATACACAGAGGCCTCACACACACTTGTGCACGGTAACACACAGACACACATACACATAGGCAGCGATGCACACGCAGTCACCACACACAGGTGCACACATGAACATGCACATGCAGATCTTCCATGAACAGCCTCCAGGAGACCCCGCAACCCACACCCAGATACTCACAGACACCCCTGCCCCGCTCCTCTCCCTGCAGCTCGAGGGACCAACGTGGGCCGGGAGTGCTGCCTGAAGTACTTCAAGGGAGCCATTCCCCTTAGAAAGCTGAAGACGTGGTACCAGACATCCGAGGACTGTTCCAGGGATGCCATTGTGTAAGTCCCCCCCGGCCCTACCCCTGCTCCTCGGGGCCAAGCTTGGGGACAAGTGCTCCCAGGAGCTCCCGGGACGGCCACTGGGGAGCAGGGAAGAGACAGTGGGGCCTTCCCCCCTGACCTCTGCAGGCTCCTTGGGGCAGTTCATGTTCCCCATGCTGTGGGACCCAAAACGGCTGCAGGCCATGAGGTCCAACCTGTTCCTTGATTTGTGGTGAAATCGAGGCCCCGGAAGCGATGAACACCCCCAGGTCACACAGCTGGTCAGGGGCAATGTGGTCACCTCCCCTGGCCTGGGCCTAAGCCCTGCCTGCAGTCTCCATGTCCCAGGCTCTAGGCCGCCTGGGGGCATGGGCAGGCTGAGGGGTGGGCACAAGGTCCTGCAGCCCTGGCTGCCTGGGAGGGTTGATGTCACTCAGGACAGAGCCTGAAGTCCCAGATCTGCCACCAATGCCCTGTGTGACTGCAGCAACTTCTTGCCCCTCTTGGAGCCTTGGAATCCTGGTCAGCACAGGGCGGGGCCGTTCCAGGGACTCTGGGGGCCCTTCCCCCTCTGCCACCCCTGGTAACGTCCTCCTTCTGTGTAGTTTTGTAACTGTCCAGAACAAGGCCATCTGTTCGGACCCCAACGACAAGAAAGTGAAGAAGGCACTTAAATACCTGCAAAGCCTCTAGAGGTCTTGAAGCCTCCTCACCTCAGACCCCTGACTGTCTCCCGGGACCACCTGGGACCTCCACCGTTGGTGTTCACCGCCCCAACCCTGAGAACTTGGGTCCAGGGGAGGCCTTCCAAGGACAAAGAAGCGCCACAGTGAGGGAGATCCCATCCCCTTGTCTGAACTGGAGCCATGGGCACAAAGGGCCCAGATTAAATTCTTTCTCCTCAGTCTGTGTCAGCGTGTTCATCCCCACAGTGCAAGACGCGCTTCCACTCCAGCCTGTCACTCTGGGAGGGTCCTCAGAGAACATCTGGTTCTGCCCTGTGCAGGTTGGAAAGGGAGACTGAAGCTGAGAGGGGCACGTGGCTTCCGCAGACCACGCACCAGTGAGGGGAGGCCCTGGTGAGAGGCCCGGGCAGGGGCGGGGCTGGTGGGGTCCTGGGAGGCGGTGGCTGAATTCTGTCCCCACCCACCCCGAGGTCTCCCGGTTTCCCCCTAGCCCAGCTCCTGTTCTTGCTCCACGTGGAGTTGAGGACAAGCTTCCCCAAGGTGCTGGAGTCAATTTCACAGACTGGCCAGGAGCCTGCCGCAGGCCACAGCTCTGCCCAGTGCTGGGGAGCCCCCTGGCCGAGGGTGGCGGGACCTTGCAGCCCTGTCTCTGCCTCCCCCTGCACTCACTGCAGGCCAGCTGGCCCGGCTCCTCCTGGCCCTGGCTCCCTCTCCCTGCTCAAACTCCAGACCAGCTTCAGAGCGAGGGGGATCTGTGGGTCCTGGGTCCTTTCGGGGGCCCTGGGTCCTCCGCCTGCAGCTACCTTCCTAGCCCCCTCCAGCCCCAGGCAGGCGGGCACCACGCAGCCCTGTGGTTTCTCCTGACTGAAGTGTGATCCCCACCTGCCCGGGCTGACCTCCCCACTAGCTCAGCTGCGCCCAGCCTGCAGGAAGCCGGCCCAGCACATCTGCCCACCGACTTGCTCCCCCAGTTCTTAGCGACTGCCCGGAAGCCGACCCCCTGCTCCGCGTGGTTCTCTCATTGGTTCGTGTGTGTGTGTGTGTGTGTGTGTGTGTGTGTGTCAGTCCCAGCTCCTCCATTAGGTTGAGAGCCCCGTGAGCCACTCCGGGGACCCCGCACCCCTGTGCTCAAAAAGATGGGGACTAGAGGCTCAGGACACCCCACCCCCAGACCCCTGCCCATGCCCAGCTACGGGCTGAGCACAGAGGAGTCAGGGCCTTCCCTTCTACTTCTCTCTCACTCTCCCAACGAGCGATGGGGCCGTGGCTTCTCTCTGAACACAGTTTGGCGGCAGGGGCATGGGTCCTTCTCTTCCGAGGACCTCCTGGCCGGCATTGTTTGGCAGGGCTGCGGTTAGAAGGGCAATTTCCAGGCCCGACTGTTGCCTCCTTCTGCCCCCTTGTGGCCAGTCAACTCATTGCAGGGCAGATGATAGAACGCAAGTCTACTTTCCAGTAGGGGCAGGACTAAAACAAGAACAGCGATAAAAAGGTTGATAAAACCAGTGAACTGGCTTCCCTGTGACTCTAGGGTCATATCCTGTCAGGACAGGATATGGGTTCATATCCTGTCCTGATGCCGAGGAGGATCCTTTGAACAACTGCCTAAGACCCAGAGTTCTAGGGGTGGCCCAGTCTGAGTTCTTCCTGGAAAATTGTCCTCTGAATCCACCCGGTGGAGGATGATTTAAAAAGGGAGGGAGGCAAGGAGAAGCTCCTAAGGTAGCAAAGGCCAGCGACGGTTGGGGTCTAGACCCCTGCACCCTGCAGGCCAGAGCTGGAAGAACTCTCAGAGTGCAATGGCTGGATTTCGGCTCACTGCAACCTCCACCTCCCAGGTTCAAGCGATTCTCCTGCCTCAGCCTCCTAAGTAGCTAGGATTACAGGCGCCTGCCACCATACCCGGCTAATTTTTTTGCATTTTTAGTAGAGACAGGGTTTCACCATGTCAATCAGGCTGGTCTTGAACTCTTGGCCTCATGTGATCCACTCACCTTGGCCTCCCAAAGTGCTGAAATCCCAGACATGAGCCACTGCGCCTGGCCTCCAGCAAACTTCGTTTAAAAAAGCAAGACCTTTTTTTCTCCCCCCCACTGAAATCCTACTCAGAAGCCCATATTATAAGCTGAGATAAGTAGAGGTGCCGTGGAGGCCTGTGAGGAGGTGGGGAGTTGCCAGAGGGTCCCTGAAAGCGAGGTAGGGTGGGGGCGTTGCATAAAGGCAGGGAAGAGGTGGATCCAGGACTGGCAACAAAATGCACGATTCAGAATCCAAGTATTCACGAGCAGCATCCGGTGCAAGCTGGGGGATGGTGAGATGCAAGAGCTAGGACAACTGCCATGTGACCTCAGGGCATTTTAAGGAGGTGTGACTTGGAGGCTGCCATGATTGGAAAGCTGGGAGGGAAAAAGAGGAATGGTCAGGTTCGGGGTGAAAAGTGAGGAGGAGTGCCAGACTTACGTTGCTTCTTTCAACTGATAGGTGCCTCCCCTCCTCCCCCACCCCACCCCTGCTTTTTTTTCTTTTCAGATGGAGTCTGGCTGTGTCCCCAGGCTGGAGTGCAGTGGTGTGATCTCGGCTCACTGCAACCTCTGTCTCCCGGGTTCAAGGGATACTCATGCCTCAGCTTCCTGAGTAGCTGGGATTATAGGTGTGTGCCACCATACCCGGCTGATTTTTGTATTTTTAGAAGAGACAGGGTTTTACCATGTTGGCCAGGCTGGTCTCGAACTCCTGAGCTCAAGTGATCCGCCTGCCTCAGCCTCCCAAAGTGCTGGGATTACAGGTGTGAGCCACTCTTCTGAAATCCAGTTTCTCTTCAACGTTCAACTCAGTGTTGCCTCCCCGGCAGCCACACAACCAGCCCTGGTCTCTCTGGTTGCATCTGAACCTGGGCTGTGTGTCCTCCACCTGCTGCCAGCGCTCACCTCAGTCTAATCCTGACCACACTCTGTCCCTTGTAATTGGAGCTGCTTGGGTGATTTACCGAGTAAACGCACTGAGCAGGTATTTGGGTCAGGAAACAGTACCAGACTCATTTATGAGGAGGGAAAAAAGCTTTGTGCATAGTGTATATTTGATTTATACATTTTCATCAGTGTTGCTTGGGTGAATTCCACAAGGGGCACTAGTGGGGAAAGAGAAATTTCCTGGGGAGCCCTAACAACCGGGCCTGAAACACATCTCATCTCCAAATGTGGAAATTAGAATTGGATTGTTCTCCAACGGCCCACCAGAGGGCACTCTGCTCTTAGGAGGAAGTTCTGAGGCTGATGCGCCAGAGGCCCTGACCCCACCAGCTGGACTCCAACCCCACCAGCTGGACTCCAACCCCATCGCTGTCCCCAGGGGCTGGGATCAGCCACATCTGTTTGTAGCTGCACTAGGCCTTGAGGCAGGGGTGTCTGTAGCTGGCCAGCTCTTCTCTTGGGGGAACAGAAGCTAAGAAACCACCAATTACACTGCCTGGGGTTTGCTGGATGAAGAGGAAGAAGGAAGGAAGGCTGCTGGGACTAGCAGGGCCACTAACTCCAGACGCAACCTGGGCAGTGCCGAGAGCTGCGGGCCGGGGTGTTTCCCTGTATTTTCTTAGAGACTGTATTTGTTCTATTTGGCATCCATTTATCACAGGGCCAAATCACAGGGCCAAAGGCATTTACACCTCCCCTGCAAGCCGGATTTTGCAAGTTTTTGAAAGTAGTAATAGTTACAAACCCTCCGACCAATCCCGATCACAGACCCCCCAACCATCTATATTTAACTCTCACACCAAGCCAAGATTTCCTCTGCCCTGAATCACCCAGAGCCGGGTAGAGACAACTAGGGGCAGCCCCTATGCCCAAGGCCCTCTGGAATTATTCCAACTAGCCAGACCTGGGCTGCTTCCCCTGGCCTGCCTTGCCCTTCAAGTGGAAACCCCATGAAAGGCTGTGGCCTGTGCTGTTCTGAACCTTCCTTTCAGCCTCCTGACCAAACTTGGTGCTCCTTCTGTGGCCCCTGTGTGTGGTCCTGCGTGTGTGCCGTGCCCTGTTCTCCTGGGAGATGCAAGTAATAAATTCTTCTTTCAGTGGCCTTGGTTGCTCTGTGTTGTCACTCAGCCACCTCCATCAATTCAAATCCTGTGGGTACATTTAAAATTTTTTAAATTGACACATAGTAATTGTACATATTTATGGGGCACATGTGATACTTTGACACAGGTGTCCAATGCGTAATGATCAGATCAAGGTAATCAGGATATCCATCACCTTGAACATTTACCATTTCACTATGTTGGGAATGTTTCAAATCTTCTAGCCATTTTGAAATATACAATAGGCCGGGCATAGTGGCTCACACCTGTAATCCCAGCACTCTGGGAGGCCGAGGTGGGAGGATCACTTGAGCCCAGGAGTTTGAGACCAGTCTGGGCAACATAGTGAGACTCAGTCTTTATGAAACACAAAGTTAGCCAGGCATGGTAGCGTGCGCCTGTGCTGCCAGCTACCCAGGAGGCTGAGGTGGGAGGATCACTTGAGCACAGCAGGTTGAGGCTGCAGTGAACCGTGATGGCACCACTGCACTCCAGCTAGGGTGACAGAGGGAGACCCTGTCTCAAAAAGAAAAAAAAAAGGCCAGGCATAGTGGCTCACACCTGTAATCCTAGCACTTTGAGAGGCCAAGGCGGGTAGGTCACCTGTTCAGGAGTTCTAGACCAGCTTGGCCAACATGGTGAAACCCTGTCTCTAAAAAATACAAAAAAAAATTAGCTGGATGTGGTGGCAAGCACCTGTAATCCTAGCTACTCAGGAGGCTGAGGCAGGAGAATTGCTTGAACCCGGGAGAGGTTGCAGTGAGCCAAGATCGCGCCATTGCACTCCAGCCTGGGCAACAAGAGCAAAACTCCGTCTCAAAAAAAAAAAAAAAAAAGAAAGAAAGAAAAGAAAAGAAAAAGAAAAAGAAATACACAATAAATTGTTTACTAGTCACCCTACTGTGCAATCAAACACTGGAAATTATTCCTTCTATCCATCTGTTTGTTTGCACCCATTAACCAATCTCTCCCCATCACTCCCTGTCTCCTAAATAGAACTACCATATGATCCAGCAATTCTACCACTAGGTATTTATCCAAAGGAAAGGAAATCAATATATCAAAGGGATACCTGCACCCCCATGCTTATTGCAGCATTATTCACAATAGCCAAGATATGGAATCAACCCGTGTCCATCAATGGAA